CCTTGCTTATTTACAGATTGATAGACGCGAGTAGAGTATGCCTGGCTCATAACGTTAGTTTGACCCCCTATGTGGATGCGTTAGCCATGAGCGAGGAAGCAGAAGAAGCAGACTTGGTGATGTTGAAAGCACACATGCGGAGAGTCTTTGAAGATACCTGCCATGAGTTCAATCTTACCGACGGTAAGATTTGATTTTTGGGAAAAAATGAATGAAAGAGGTCCCAAAAATTTTTTCAGAATTCACTTCATCACATAGTGATAGTACTTTGAAGGCCAAGTAAGTAATTACACGTGTTGTATTACACAACGAATTTGCCAAATAATGTGTATTGAGGCCATCGAAATATGTCAATGAGTATGGACTAAAGTTTAATACCAAGAAGTTCGAAAACGACCTTGTTGCTCTATTTCTTCACAACAAACTCAACGCACCATTCTTCAGCGCTTTCGAAAAGGTAAACATCACAAGATTTTTGAGGATCCACTTACAGTATCATGAATCCGAGTTTTAGGGATTGATGAAAGATGAGGTGGACATCGACTTTGCTAAATCAACAGTTTTCCTTCCAAGACGTTGCGATATAACCACCATGACAATAGAAGCGCAATATTGTTCGTTTGAAGACAAGTCAGTGGAAAGCGAATTATACGCAGTAAGTGATATTTAAAGTCGAGTAGATCAAATATACTCCCCTTGCGATGTCGAGAGTTGCGGTGAATTTTGCGCATGAACTAACAGTAACGTCGAATTGCCGGTAACATGCGCGCGCGAAATGCCGGCATTTCAGACGTGGCCATTTATTCACGCGCAAATTTCATCGCAGACTCTCGGCACCGCAAGAGCACTATATTTACCGCTAGATCTATTCGACTGTAACAGTGTCTTTTCTTTCTGTCCCCCCCCCTCAATTTGCATTTTAAGTCAATTTTTCTGCTCCAGATTGCGCATACTGGGCAGTTGATGAAGAAGAGTAATGCTTTCGTGCTTTATGAAGTGCCTGAATACGTTCTGATAAACGGGGATGAGATATTTCCCGTGAACTTTGACTCGTGCAAAGCAATGGTGAGCCTAAGCTTATTCAAACAATAATAGTCAATATATCGATTTTTGCAGAACGGCACTTATTTCCTGTGCATGGAGAAAATCAGAACTTATTGCGATATCACCACCATAACGTCCTGTGATTTGTATGCGATGCCCACAGACAAAGATTTCTACTTTACCCGATCGTACGGTAGCGGAATGATAGTGGCTACAAATCTTTCGGTTCGTAATCTCACTAGCTTTACCCAGTTTCATAAAGAAAATTGAGTT